TTTAACCTATACATCTGGATGCATCTGGAACAATCCCTGAGTCAAAGGCATTGTGCACAATGTAAATAGGTGCTGAGTGAGCCCGCTACCCTCAAAAGTGCTTAGACCAGTTTGTTCGTGTGGATTCTCCCTTTGATTTCAGCTTCACTACTTGCTTGAGTAATGTAAGATGGGTGAAGCTACCAGGGGGATTGCACTGGAAAGCTTTTCAGTGTAAAAGAAAGCAGGCAATTGATGGATTGTAGGAAGACCAGGATGAAACGTGATTGAAACCAGTTTTGCTGTAATGGTCTTCAGGGACTACCACATCTTCACAGACTTCAGTTGGTTCCCTTTACCCAGTTGCAGGCAGGGCCCATGACTGGCCTTTGCAAGGTTGTGCTGCCTTTCTTCTCATAGAGCTGCACTGAAGCTAATTTCCACCTTGATGTGCCACTTTGTAGAGGTGCAATCAAATGGTTTGTAGTATTTTTACTTGTGAATTTTTGCTATGAGTTGTGTTTTAATAGTGGCATTGCTGCTCCGTTATGACCAAAGGACAGAGCTTTGTATTTTTGCCCTGTGATGCCAAGCAGATGCTGTCCTCTAGATGCCGTGAAATGCACGCATATCCTAAAGCAATTACTTGAGATAATTATTCCCTGCTTGTGCCTTGGCTTGTGATTATCACAAAGCGCAAAGTTATGCTGACTACCAGTTCACCGAGTTACACGCTCCAGAGCGGGCTACGAAGGCGCCTGACGACAAGCCTTCACCACAACACTTGCTCTTTCCCTGATCCCTCAGAGCCCAAATCTGATTTGCAGATTCTATCAGAAGCATCCCTGGTTGCTCAACTGTTTAGACTTCCATCACATTTCACCTGAACAGATGTGGGCATCCTACTATAAAACCTTATTTTTTATAGTGGCTGTCTTCAGGAACAGAAGTGCCGACCACTTTAGCAAATACATTTGTTTTCAAAAACACCCATAATTGCATTGTTGTATCATCTCCATGGTTATTTTAAAAATTCTCTTTGTGACTTTACATTATTAATGAGGTGTCTATAGAGTTGTCTAGAAAAAAAATTGTTGTGTTAATCCTGATTGTGGCTTTTTCATTTCTTCTTGTGATTGGACTAAGTCCTCAGCTGGAGTAAACTGATGTCATTTGTACTCTGTTATTTCTCTTCATGTTATTGGCGCTATTGTCACCAGCTGTCATGATAAGATATCCACAGTGTGTCAGTAGGGAAGAATCTCTCTTTTGAAGGACAAACTAGATAAAATGACACAAGAAATGGAGTACATACGCTGTGGACTGCTTGGAAGCTTGCTATGAATCTGGAAACTCAGTCTGTGGTCACAAATATGCCATATGAAGCATGAACAAATTTAAATGGTTGCTAACTGTAACTCTACAAGTAAAGTATCACTGGGAAACAGGCTAAATGTGATTTTTTTTTAAATATGCATACACACGTGCAACAGATAAGAACAGGAAATTTTGGTACGACGTTCTCCTTCTATAAACTTCGAAGAGCTTTACCAAGGCTAGTATCCCTGTTGTCATTTTAAAAATGGGAAAAGGGAAATGCAGAGGAGGAGAGGAGGGTGCCAGGGTGGCTCAGCCAAACAACAGCAGAGCTACTGGGAGAGCTTAGGCCTCCTGAACCACACGGCAGTGCCCGCAGGAGAACGCGAATAATTTGGGTGCATGTGCATAACATTCGTAAAATAGATTACCCAGTAAAGGTGGAAGCAACTAAACCTTGTTTTGAGGAGATTTAACTTGGTGTGGCACCAAAATCACTGGCTGGGAAATAGTTCACCAGAATACGTAGTATACAAGGTAACCTATCTGTATGGACTAACGCACCCAAACCCTAGTCGAATAAGAGTTATTAAACACATCCTCGCAGACTGGCGTTGGACTTTCCATGCGGCCCTCACTTCCCAGCGCAGTGGTGAGGCGAGCTGCGTTGCTGTCGTCCGGGAGTCACCGCCTCAGCACAGCGCGAGTCCCTCCGAGCCGCTCCAAAGCCGGGCTGCGGCCGTCTCGCAGGCACAGCGGAACGAGGTCGCGTGGCCTAATGACCGCATTGCCAGTGGCAAGACAACGGTGCCCTGTGTACTGCCAAGGTAATAACTTCAGACATGCAACTGGCGGAGAAATATAATCGTCCTTGAGCACTATAAAAGGGACTAATGTATTAGTTACTGTTTGAATGCCGATTTGTAATATACATTGTGCCAAAGGACTGAGAATCTGGAGCTGCTGCTAGTAATTAAAAAAGATATAAGGGTATAATATTTTTGCCCTAATATTAACCTGGATTGTTTTTTTGTGCGTTAACAAACCTCAGATACATCCTGCAGGCTATATGGTTCTTCATGTCACACGTTTTACCTCTCTCTCCTTCCTATTTAGTGTAAGGCACGCAGGACTTTTACCCCTTATCTCCTCTTAGTTGTGGGCACCAACTTGGCCATCTGGCTTTACGGCACATAGGTTTTACCCTTTTTAACTAGAGTGAAATATTAGCCTGTATTTCTGTGAACGGTAACCTAGAGCACACTCCTTACAGAGATCTTAGGGACAAAGAGAGAAATCTAGGAAATGGATGCTTTTCCCTTATCTCTGTAGAAAGCTGAGCTGTCTCAGATGTTCAAGGTTTCTATACATGCTAACAGACAAGAAGCAGAAGAACAGGGGGACAACTGAACGGGAGTGGTTATATTATAATATTTCATGGGGTTTGAGCTTCCTACTATTTTTACTTGTGCAACACGACATTCTCCTTGCATGTCGAATTCACCATTGCAGATCTCAACCTCTGAGTGATTGTTTTGGTCAAAGTTCATTTTTAAATGTAAATGCATAAGTGACTTGAAGTTTTTGCTTATTCTTTAAAGGATTTTTATTAATCTGGATGATATTCAACGCTTGCTTGGGCTCTGAAACCAGCGATGAATTTGCCCTATCCAGCTAAGCATCATAATGGATAGACAGAATGTATTAAGAGTTATCACCTCAAAGACAGATCAAAGTCTACTTCCTTTAATATTGACTTTCTTTAAAAGGACCTAAATATAACCCACTAGCTAAATAATTCAATTTTGGGGGGGGGTAGAGGAGCTGAGTGCATGTTTATGCAACAGACCACAGTAACTCTGCAGTTTTATGATTTGCTGGAGGAGAAGAAATCCTTCTCACATTTTCTGCTTAAGGAAATGTTACTCTTAGACTAAATGAGCCCAAATCTGTCAGCCATCCAAATGGACTCTTCAGTGACTAAGTGGCAAACACTTGCATGGGTCACCGACAGGGACAGCTCAGCTCAGGGAACAGAAGCAATGAGCTAATCCTAGTACATGATCCATTTTCAGATGTGCTCCACAAAGCTCTGCAGATTGATTTTTGCACACCTTACTTGACTCACTGTGTATGGTCATAGGAGGTGTTGATAGACCCGTAATTCACGCTGGGCTTTAAAATTTACTTTTCTGTTCTCTTTTTATTCTTTCCTTAAGTATCTCTACACATTGGAAAATACACGTATCTACATGCACACATATGTAAAAATATATGTGAACATCTATGTTCAGCGCATCAGCCTGAGAGTGCTGGGCATCACCAGGGCTGCCACCTTCCCCCGCTGGAGACTGCGCCCCCAAGGGCCGTTTAAAGACATGGGTCTCTACCTGTCTTTTAAAATGCTCCAAGGGGAGCGTTCTCAGTGAATGCAAGGAAAGTGGTACTAAGTCTCTATCCTGCCATTTGTCCCCATACGACTAAATGACGCCTGGAGCCAGGCCAGGCCAGAGGGTTTCCCAAAAGGCTGGACACAGCTGCTGTACAGCTACTCATGGCTCTTCTAGCTTTTGTTCTTATTCAGTGCTTTAGTTCTCAAAAACATCCATGATTTCTATCATGCTATCACTGTTTGACTGGCTTTCCGGATTTTTACATCTAAATTTTAGATGTAAAGGCAGAGAGACCGCAAGGCCAGAAACCACCCGTCCCACCTTCTGCTCCCGGACGTGGATTGCCATCCTGTGAGTGATCAGCTTGCAATTATGACTCGAAAAGTGACTGTGCCTGTGTCTGGAAAACACTGGTCTCTTCCTAACGCTTTGCATTTCAAGTACCGTCCGATCAGCAAACATGAGTAAGCCTCGCTGCTGTGCGTTCTGCGCTACAGGGGTATGACAGCTCTAACCTCAGCTCTGTTTCCTCAGATACTTGTGTTTATTGTGATTAATGCTATTTTAGTTAAGAATGTTGATATATTTGTACTGTAGCAATAACTGAAAAAATGGAAACTGGAAATGGGCTCTTCTGACTGTTGATTAGAATAGTCCATTTGTAAATGCCCTGACATCTCAAACTGGAAAGTACCTATCCTCACTGGTGATAGAGAGGTCACTAGAAATGATTACTGTAGAATAACTACTTAATGCGGTAGAAATCTTGTATAATGAGGCTAATTCCTCGACCCAAAGACATTAGTCCTGAAGGGTGGAAACACCAAGGCAGTATCACTTGTGAGATTTCTCTGCCCCAGGATTGTATTTCTACCCCTGCTCCGCGTTCTGCCTCTGACCACTGCCTTTAACGAGAACCAAACACCTTTCGCTCATCCTTACGTAGGTGAATAAGGCTGTTGTCCTATGCACACAGATGAAAAATCTTTTGCAAAGGATTTGTGAGAACAAGACAGTGAAATACTGTAGAGGAAGCTAAAGCATTGTGAAAGTGCTTTCCTGAACTACAGTGAGGGCCAAGGTAGACGTCTTACTAGGAAGAACTACAGGTGTCCCGCGTGTCAGTGTGACAGCCCCAGCGTCCAGGTGAAAACGTGCTCAAGGGGACGGTCCTGCCCTGGCTGGCGCACGCCGCGTGCGCTCCCTGCTCTTTCCCAGCTCCAGCTCCCCT